CCCGCTCTCAGTTTGGTCTCCTAAACCAGCCCTGCCCTTCCTAACAGAGCTTCCCAATGGCTGGTTCGCAGGAGGGGCACGAAGGCCCTTCTAGATGTTGGCAAAGGGCAATTGTTCCAGAGTCCACTCAGTTCTCAGATACATTGCTCCAGAGCAGAGGGTTCCTAGAAGGGCAGGAGCAGGAATCGTGCCCTCTAGTATGTGCCCACACTATGCTGGGCACTACATGTCCCTGATCTCCCTCCATCCTCACAAGAGTTCCGAGGTAAATGTTATCATCCACAGTTTCAGAGGATGAAACTGAGAGTCTGGGAAGTCTCAGAGCTTGCCCAGGGTCATACAGCTGGAAACGGGGGAGCCAACATTCTGGAAGCAGATCTGCGTGAGTCCAAAGCCTGTGCTCTTTGGCCTCCTTATACCCCTGCCCCCTGCGGAGGTCATGAAGCCTTCTATCCCCTCACCCCATCTTGGTACACGCATCCCTCTCCTTGAATGTCCCAGGGTCTCAAGGATCCAGGCACATACCTAGGTTGTGGGTTCTATCCCCAGTTGGGGTGCGTATGGGAGGCAACGAATCAATGTTTCTCTCTCTAGATCAATGTTTCTCTCTCTCTCTCCTTAATACCATGTTACTTAACTGTAACTGCTTAGTCTGGAGGAGAAAAACTTGGACAGCATTGAGAAGAATGAGACGCAATCACTATTTTCCATTATATACAATCAAAATGATTTGGTGCGGTCGCTGGAGCTTGGAGGGTGGGACACTGGAATCAGCCAAGGAACTAGCATGTGGGGACAGGAGAGGAAAGGCTGGGAAGGAGACTAACATTGGTTGGTCACTTAGGATGTTCAACACTTGTGTCCTACTAGCATGGAGGACACTATGTCGGCCTTATTTCATTGAATCTCCCCTGCTCTGTGAAGGAGAGTTCATTATCTCAATTCACGTAGGAAGAAATTGGGACTCAGAGAGTCAAACGACTTGCTCCAGCTTACCCAGATAATAAGTAGCATACCTGGGATCTGAAACTAGCGTCCTGCCTCCAATACCCTGATTCTTCTCCCTGATGCCTTTCATTAGAAAGAAGAGTTGCTCATAATTAGGGCTTGGAATAATAATCAGAGCTTGACAGGTAATGAGCCCCTAGTCACTGAAGGTATTCAAGCAGAGGCTGAAGGGTTCCTGGAATGAGAGTAGGAAGGTTGGGCAAGCTAACCCTCAACTCTGAGATTTTTTCAGAGGACAGGATGCTTGGTGTCGACAGGGCACCGTATCAGGATGGGAAGTAGGCGACATGGCGGGGCTACTCACACTCCACGCGGTATTTCTCCATCTCCTGCACCTCAGCGATGGACTCGCGCAGGTCAGACGTAAAGCGCAGCCTATCCTGGAGGCTGGGGGCGTTGAAAATGATGAGGACTTTCCGCTCCCCACCAGGTACTGCAGACAGCAACTTGATTCCAAACTGGTAATCTGTGGGGCAAGGGGAAGTGGGGCCCCTCTGTCAGGACTGAAGCAAGGTGGCTCATATGCAAAATAATATTTGTAATGTCCAACTCTGGTTGAGCCTCTTCTCTGCTCAAGCATCTTCACTGGCTCCCCTTGGTCCCCAATGTCCCCAAGAGCCTCCTGGGAGTCACGGCCATGTTACTCCCTCTACTCTGGGATGTAAGGGCAAACTGAACTCTAGCTGCCTTCTAGAACCCTTCCTTTAATCCTCTACCTCTACCCACATTGTTTCTTCTGCCCAGAAGGCCACCCAAGAAAGTTCCTCTGGCTCAGTCCTTCAAAGTGCAGCATTATCACCATCTCCTCGGCCCACCAGAAAACATACACACTGTGGACCATGAGCTCCCCAGGGCACAGACCCAAGTCAGACTCCACCTTGGCCGGCCCTACATCCCAGGACCAAGTAGGTGACCTCAGCGCAGTTATAAAGGACTCCCCAAACTGGAGGTCGGGGTGAATGAAGGATGAGCATGGGGACCATAGCATAGACTCTTGGGATGATGGGATCCAAGGAGGGACTCACATGAATTCTGGAAGAGCTGCATGTGCATTTCCACGAGGGGAAAAGACTGACGGAAGCTGTACGTCACCAAGATCTTCTTCTTCTGGAAAATTTTGGTGACCTTTGGTAGGGATGGGAAAAAGACGAGAGGCAGGGTTTGGGGTGGGGGATTTCCAAATGACACCTATTTCTCATAACCTCCCTCCCCTCCCACTGCCACTGATAGACATCTACACACAAACACACATGCCCACAAACTGGGGAGAACTGAAGCTTGAGGAGCACAACAGGAGACACAGGAGAAAATGCAACTTCCTGATGTAATGATGTCACACAAACAGGTGTTTACAATTTCACAGGAAGTAACTGAATGCTACTCCCCCCAGGAAGCCTGTCCTAACATCCCACACACATCCACCCCCACCTCCCAGAGTGCTTGCAGATTCAGTGCCTTTCACCATCATCAGGCTTGAGGGGAGCGCTCTGAGTGTGTGATCGCCCCCTGCTGGACCAGGAGCACCAAGAGGGAGGAGTCTGGTTTTCATGTATTTCACCCACCCACGGGCCCCAGCACCCAATGTATACAGTTAACATCTTCCTCTCAACAACCCAAGGTCTTTATCAAGTACTTGGGCACTCTGGCCTCAACTAATGTAGGCTGCGAATGCGTCGCACAGATTCAAGCAGAGCAATCTGCACTTTGTGTTTAAAAGCAAATTATTTGGCTCTGGCCTGGTGGCTCAGTCAGTTGGAGTGTCGTCCTGCACACCAAAAGGTTGCAGTTTTGATTTCTGTCCAGAGCACATAACTAGGTTGCGGTTCCATCCCATTGGGGTGTGTATGGGAGGCAACCAATCGATGTTTCTCTCTCTCTCTCTTCCTAAGAACAAGGACTGAGTCTCAGTCATCTCTGTGCACCCAGTACCTAGCATGGGGCTGGACACACACAAGGATCAGTGTGTGATGGATGTTGAAACATTTATTCAACCACTGTATGGGCCAGGAACTCCTCTGGGCTACGCTATTCCACACCTGACCTCTTATTTCATCCTTAGGACAACCATATGAGATAGGGAGTAGCCCCATCTCACAGAGTAGGAAATTAAAGCTCAGCAAGGGCACTGGAGGGACTTCATCTAAAGCAGCGACTCTCAACAGGGAGTGACTTTGCCCCCGCCCCAGGGGAAATTTAACAATGGAGACATATTTGGTTGAAGAAATGCGACAGACATCTAGTAGATAGAGACCAAGTGCTGCTAAATATCCTACAATGCACAGAACAGCTCCCACCACAATGAATTATCTGGCCCCAAATGTCAATAGCACCAAAGTTGAGAGACCCTGCTCTGAAGGAGAGAGGATCAAGGGGGACAAGTCACTGTCCTCAAATCCCTGAGCAGAGAGAGACCTTTTCCCTGTGATCCCAAGGGTTGAGTGACAATCGCTGCAGGAAACCCATTGCGAGACAGATTCTCGCAGCCTTCAGTCCTGGAAGCCACACAAGCAGGGGACCATGTAGGAAGCCAGTTCTTGCCCTGGGTGAAAGGCTGGACAGGAGACCCTGAAATTCCCGTCCCACCTGCAGACTCCTCAGAGTCCCAGCTCTGAAACATGCATATGGACACTGGTGATAAGCTTGGTTTTAAAAATCATAAGCACCCTGGCCACCCAAAGGTTCCAGACAGAACCCAGGGTCACAGGTTCACCTCCCCCCACCTAACCCTCCAGGCTACTGAGGTGGACCAGGACATTTCCTACCACTTCCCAGGCTGTAAGCCTATCATCTCCAATGTTCCTCACATTTTCTGCCCCCATGTGGCTGTCATTACCTCCAAAAGGATCCAGGAGGTAAAGGAAGGGCAGGGGCAGCCTATACCTGTCCAAGACCGCACAGATCACGTGGCAGAACACTTCACCTACCATATTGCCACCACTAATGTTAACATGGTTCACAGCACACAGGGGCCCAGCTCACCACCTCCTCTCCATCGCCTCTCACAGCACTCTTACCACAAGGAGGTCATTGAAGAGAAAGACCTCCCGCTGATGCAACCCTAGCCTCTGGGGGCGGTTTGGATCTGGCACCTCATAGAGCTGGCAGCAGCAAACCAGTCGACGGTGAGGAAGAGACAGTACCTAGATAGGCATGAAGAAATAGATGTCAGGCCCTAGCTGGTTTGGTTCAGTGGATAGAGCATCGTCCTGTGGACTGAAGGGTACTGGGTTCGACTCCTGTCAGGGGCACATGCCCAGGTTGCAGGTTCTATCCTCAGTGTGGAGAGTGCAGGAGGCAACCGATCAGTGATTCTCTCTCATCATTTATGTTTCTATCTCTCTCTCCCTCTCTCTACCTCTCTGAAATCAATACAAATATATTTTTAAAAAAAGAAATAGGTGTCAGCCCAGCCAGTGTGGCTCAGTGGTTGAACATCCACCTATGAACCAGCAGGTCATGGCTGGATTCCCGGTGAGGGCACATGCCCGGGGTTGTGGGCTCCATCCCTAATAGAGGGCATGCAGGAGGCAGCTGATCCATGATTCTCTCTCATTGATGTTTCTATCTCTCTATTCCTCCCCCTTCCTCTCTCTCAAATCAATAAAAGCATTAAAAAAAATATAAAGAAATAGGTGTCAGCAAGACCAGCACGGCAGCTTCAGGCACCTTAACATTGACCGCAAGAGGATGTTTATCTCGGATACATATCATTGTCGCTCATACACAATGAGCCTAAGAAACTAAGGCCTGGGCTTGTCTGCTGCCTTGCCTTTGTCCTGGTAGCTCCCTGTCTGGAATGCGTTTCCTGCTCAGCTCCATATGGCCACATTCCACTCTTCCAGTGTCATCTCTTCCAAGAAGCCATTTCTGCTCTCCATGGACTGAAAATGACCTCTCCCTCCTTTGTGTGCCCCTAAACTAACTGTAAGGCAGAAGTATTGTGTCTTTGTCTGATACCACCCCCCCCAGAGCCCCCAAGGATAGAGACCACATCTGATTCATATCTGCATCCCTGGTGCCCAGTGAAATGTTGGGCTCAGTGGAAAGCATTCGTCAATGTTTGTTGACTAAAAGACTAGAATATGTTCTTGACTTTGGTTATCAACGATTGGCTTGGCTCCCCATTTGGGATGGACAGGCAAAAAGGTGGGAAGGATGCTGAGATTTATACAGCACCCCACTGTGTACCTTGCAGTGTGCTAGATGCACTGCCATCGAGGTCTCACTCAGTGTGCACCGGGACCCCTGAGGAACGCATTCCACCCACTCTCTTCAGCAAGTGAGGTGGGCATAGGGCTCAAGAGAGGGACAATGACTTACCACTTGGTGGCAGAGGCCGACCCAAACCCTGTCCCCTCTGAAGCTTCACAAATCACTTACTGGCTTCTTGCCCACAATCATGCGCTCCACAGCCTGCACTTGGGACACATGGTCATCATTGGTCCGAAGTTCACGCCCCTGGATTCGCTGGTAGATACCCACCAGGAGGTCTCGAGGGATGTCTTCACCATTGTCAACCCCTGGTTGGGAGGAATAACAAAGATATATGGCATAAATGTGGGGAGTGGGTGGCAGGGGTTCTCCACAGCACCCCACACACAGGCCTGGGTCATAACAACAGCCAGGTCTAGAAGGAGTGGGAGCCCTTGACCCCTCGGTCAGCATCAGCCACAAGAGGCATCCTTCAACCAGATAACCAGTTGCTTTCCCACCCCTCCCCCCACCCCCAGTGTGGGGATTTTATCTAAACTCAGATCATACTGTGATTAAGACAATTAGACGCTTTTTTTTTGCCTTTCTAACTAGCAAAAATAATGTTAAGTAATATCCAGTGTTAGTAAGAGTGCAAAGAAGCGGGCAAGTGTATTAAGTATTTTGGAAGGTAATTTGGCAAGAGCATAAATATTCAGTGATTCCTCTTGTAGGAATCTGCCCTAAGGAATTACTCAGAAATCTGTACAAGGCATATGTACAAGTGCTACTGAGGGGAAATTTTTAAAATAACCTAAGTTCTAACAATAGAGGAACAGCTAAATAGAGCTGAGTATATCTGTTTAATAAAATAATTTACAGCTATTAAAAAGTGGATGTTTACAAAAAGCATGAGAACATTACTGTAGCAAGTTAAGTGAAAAGAGCAGGATACATTGCATATATGATCTTTACCTTATAAAAAGTTACATAAGCATAGGAAAAAACACTAGACTACCTTAAAATATCAACCATGGTTGCCTCCAGGGGGCAGAATTTTAGGTAATTAAAAGAAATGTTCTAATTTTCTCTACTTTCCAAAGTTGCAGTGAGCAGGTATTCATTTCTTTTTTTTTTTTTTAATTTTTCGCTAAAAGTATTACAAAGGGTATTACATAAGTGTCCTTTTTTCGCCCCCACCCTTGACAAGCCCCTGCCCTCCCTTACCCCCCAGTGTCTTATGTCCATTAGTTATGGTTATATGGATGCATACAAGTCCTTCAGTTGAGCAGGTATTCATTTCATTTATTTATTTACTTAATAGGTGGAGGGGGAGAAAATATATATATATATACACACATACATATATAATACATATATATGGAGAGAGAGAGAGAGAGAGAGAGAGAGAGAGAGAGAGAGAGAGAGAGAGAGAGAGGCAAATGAATGAACAAAAATGACTAATGAAGGATTCTGGGAGACAGCTCCAGATGGCCTCTGATCTGTCTCGCTCCTCCCGTTTACCATCCTTCTCCATTCCTGATTGTCTGCTTAGCAAACCCACTCACTCTTCTCTCTAAACCTTCTGTTGGAGAAAATGTTTTCCAGGTGCTAAAGGAACATCCTTCCTCATGCTGCCTTTTGACTTCAGCTGTCAGTGATTTAAGCTCATCGACTGTGCAAACCCCGAAGGTCAGCAAATTTGTCTTGTCTGCTTGTTTTGCCACAATTCTGTTTCCCTCTTTTGTTTGTGTTTCAATAATCCTAACATATGAGCCATTTTTAGGAGGCTGCCCTTTGGTGAGAGGCAGGGCCTGACATCAATACAATAAACCAAGACAAAAGGTCAAGGTGAAACCTTTAATCTGGCACTCAAGGCCCTCGTATATTGGTTCCAACTGACCTTTCCAACTGGATCATCTATCCCATCTCAATTATTCTCCAGGCAACTTTAGATTTTCCTACTTCTGTGCCTTTGTTATTCTTACTGCCAGGTAAGTCAAGTCCTACTTTATCTGTGTCTTCAAGGTCCACCTTAAAATGAATTCTCCAGCAAGCACTCTGGAGGTGAGCTCTCCCTCCTCTAAGCTCTGACTGTTCTTTTGACCTGCCTGACATCATAGGCTGACATCACCATTTGCTTTCTTCCTTGTGTCGTGTCTCTGGTACTGTAAGTCAGTCTCTCCCACAAACGGGGAGCTCTTTTGGGGCAGGGACTATCGCAGAAGCCCTTCCACTGTCCTTAGCACCCATCATAGTGCCTGGCACACATGAGGCACTCGGTTAGTGTCAACTTGCTGGCTGACTGGTTGAGTTAAAAAATAAATACATAGCCTGGCCAGTGTGGCTCAGCATTTGAGCATCAAACTATGGACCAGGAGGTCAGGGTTTGATTCCCAGTCAGGGCACATGCCCGGGTTGCGGGCTCCATCTCCAGTAGGGGGCATGCAGGAGGCAGCTGATCAATGATTCTCATTATTGATGTTTCTATCTCTCCCTCTCCCTTTCTCTCTTTGAAATCAATAAAAATATATTTAAAAAATAAAAGCATAAAGAGAGGAAAGGGTACTAAAATAATTGAGTATTTATGGGCATAAATAAAGAAGAGAGAAAAGGAGGGAATGATGGGTGAATGGACACATGAATGAATGGGTGAACCAGTATACGCTCTGTAAGAGTCAGGGCTTTTATCTCTCTTGTTTAGGACTTGCTCAGTCAATATTCAGTGTGGGAATGAGTAGATGGCCAAACGACCGAATGAATTAATAAATGAATGCCCCAGGAACATCCAGCCTTAGTAGAAAGTGAGAGCATCACAGGTTAATTTCCAAGGAACCTTCCTCACCCCACCCTCCCATCCTGCCCACGTTCCCTTCCCAGGGGAAGGACAGGAAGAGCTGACAGGGAGGTCTGGGGTCACCTCTCAGGTTCTTGATGAAGTCATCTAGTTTCATCTTGCGTTCAGCCTTGACGCTGGGACTGTACATGTCAGTATTGAGGAGGATGATGGCAAAAGCGAGGATGAAGATGGTGTCTGGGTTCCGGAACTGGCGCACGAGGGCTGGGTTACACACACAGTACCGCTGGCTGCAGGGCAGGAGGGGCCAGGGCCAGGGTCAGGCATCAGGAATCTCCACCTACCCACCATCCTCCCAGTCTGGCACCACCAACCCTCTCCTTTAACAAGTACTCCCAAACCCTTTGGGTGTGTCCTTTTTCTTCGGAGTTTCCCCAAGACTAACATGTAAAATTCACAGTCACTACCTTTTACTGAACTCCACAGATCACCTCTCTCAGCTTCATACATAAATACCCTACAGAGGGTCTATGTACATGTCCTATGTAGTCCTATCAGAGTGCTGCAAGGTAGCTATTAGCAGCCCCATTTTACAGATGAAGTGACTGAGACCCCCAGTGGAAAGGTACCTTGCCCAAAGTAATAGAGCTGGTAAATGGGGAAGCCAGCATGAAAATCTAAATCTTTCTGACTGCAAAGAAAACCTTCTCCCATTATGGGAAACAAATTCTCAACAACTCTCGTTCTCCTCTAAATACCTCCAAAGTGGTGGGGCCAGGATTTATACCCAGGTCTACCTGATCCCCGCAGCATTCATAGTAGACTATAAAAGTTAAGGGTCATGCCCTGGCTGGTGTGACTTGGTTGGTTGAAGTGTTGTCCTGCTGTCTCAGGTTCGATTCCCGGTCAGGGCATGTACCCAGGTTGCGGGTTCAATCTCAATAGGGGAGTATACAGGAGGCAACTGATTGATGTTTCTCACATCTCTCTCTCTCTCTCTCTCTCTCTCTCTCTCTCTCTCTCCTCCCCTTCCTCTCTCTAAAATCAATAAAAACATATCCTTGGGTGATGATTAAAAAAAGAGTTAAGGGAGAAGTTCAAATCCTGGTTCCACCGTGTATTCACTGTATGACTCTGGGCAAGTTATTTAACCTCTCTAAACTACTAATTTCTCATCTGCAAAACAGAAATAATAATAGAAACACCTACCTTATAGGGTTGTTGTGAGCATTCAGTGAAATAATAATATAAAGTGCCCAGCTCAGCACCTGATACCTGGTAAGAGCTCAACAAACACTAGCTATTGTTGCTGATGTTGTCATCACTTATGGGAGTCCCATGTCCCAGATGCCAAGCTAGATACTTTTTGCACATTACCTCTGGTCCTCACAACTTAACTGCCTCACAAGGTAAGATTTATAATTGCCATTTTCTGATGAGGAAAGTATGAAGCTGAGGGAGGTGATCTGTAGACACACTATGCTGCCCCCTGAAATAGGGAAAGGTAGCTTTAGTGGGAAGCAGGCACACCTGAAGGCTTCGATGAGTCGCTCCACTTTCTGGGCCTCGCCCTGAACCCGGATATGGGATTGGAACTTCCGGAGTGCATCATCCAAATCCATGGAGGAGAAGTCCATCTCATCCACCACACAGCTGAGGAGCAAGGAGGGGGTGTGGCACTCTCAATTCCTCTGCACAAAACCTCTGACCCACCCTGACCTGCTCAAATGGACCAACTCCTCCATTGATAGACGTCCACAAAATATGGACCCATGGCCCAAGTAAGTACATGTGAGGGCGGAACATTTGAAATTGAATCCACCCCAGAAAATCAGGTCCAGACATGTAGCTACTAAGAGTTCTTTCCATTACGCACTCATTTCAGAGATGGGAAAACTGAGACCCAAAGACCATAGGAAAAGCGTGCCTTACCTGGGGCCACCCAGAAGCCTTTAAGAATAGGGCCAAGAGAGATCAGGCCTTTTTGGTGCAGAGGGTTATGGGATAAGGAAGGCCCATTCATCCCGTTTTGCAAGTTTGAGCAGAAAGGACAGGCTGCCCCCCACCTCCAGCCCTCCTTTTCCAGGAATCCCTGGCCCAGCCTGCCCCATGCCAGGGTCCTCACTCCAATACGTCTCTGTTGAACTGCTTCTGCCGGTTCCCTAGGAATTCCCCTATCATCTGCCGGCTGAGGCCTTTCCGTTCCAGGATGAAATGAGCCACTCCCACCGGTGTGTCTGACAGGAAGCCCCGCTCAATCAGATACTGGATGCCCTTCTCTGGCTTCCTGCAGAAAGAAGGGAGGTAGATGAGATGACCGTCCTCCTAGAACTTGGCCCTCTGTCCCATTGCTTGAACTAATTTTGGGCCCAATCACGACCTCGGAGAACCAAGGAAGTCAAATACATAATTTGGTCCAATCCCTTCAGAAAACTGAGGCCACTTTCCCATTTCACAGTTTCAAAATTCCAAGGCATCCTCAACCCAACTTCCTCCTTCACTGGAGCCACACTACAACGGAAAGAAAAAATTTAGTGAGAGCCTGCTCTACGCCAGGAGCTTTGCTATTCCCAGCAGGCACTGAGGGGTCCTGGAAGAGGGCCCGAGCTCCAGGCTAAGACCTCCTTTCCAAGGCCCAGGCCCAGGCCCACCTGTACAGGCATCACCCAGCCTCTGAGCGTTTCCATAGACATGGTGTTTCCTACTTCCCACTGGGCCAACTCTGGGTCTGAACTCTCCCACATTCAGAATCTCGGAGCCTTAAGACCTCACGAGGCTAAAATTGGAAGAGACTTTAGCGTGACAGGAGTCTCACACCCATCACTTACCATGCATGACTCGGGACAATTCCCTTTGCTTCTTCAAGCCTCAGTTCCTTCTCTAAAAAATAGGGACACTCCCACCCAGATTGCCGAGTTATTCTGAGAACTAAATATAGGTGGCAGTGTCTAATAGGCTACACATGTAAGGCATTTATTTTCTAACTATTTTCAAATCAAATGTCGCACTCACCCCTTACTCCTAAGGACCAGGCCCAGGACCAGGTATCTAGAAAGAGCTTGGTCCTGCTTACTGACTAGCCCAGCATTCCACCCTGCCCCCCAGTGCCACAAATATACACACCCTGCTAGATGGAAACACCAAAGCCCAAAGAAGGAACCCACCTGGCCCAGAGCTACACAGTGAGTCTGGCTAAAGTCAGGATAGAGTCCAAGTCTCCTGTTTCTCAGAGCAGGGCTCTTTACATACCACATTGGCTCCCCACCAAATAGGGGAGGCTGAGGACCCCAAGTTCAGAATCCATTCTATAGATAGCGAACTGGGGCCCAGAGAAGGGAGCATCTCACCCAAGCTCACACAGCCAGTTAGAGGCAGTGCTAGGACTAGAAGTGCCTCTGATGGGTGTGTTGGGGGATTCTCTCCTCTGCCACCCTGTTGCCAATCCTCTTCACTAAACAGCTGGGGAGAAACACCATCCACAAAATGCGAAGCTGGCAGAAGCAAATTACTGCTTGGAGTTCAGCCCCAGGGATTCAAAGTGCCTCGTGGCAGGGTAGGAAGGGGCAAGGGGGGCAGGAATGGGAAGCACATACTTATTGAAGAGGTTGAGGCCGATTCTGTAATGCCGCCTCTGCACCACGTCATTGTTGAAGGCTGGTGAGTCCCAGCTGTGCCTTGTCTCTCGCTGGTAAGTCTGCTTGCACAGGCTGGTGGCTGGAGGCTCCCTCAGGCTGTCCCTCGAAGAGGAGCCAGAGCTGCAGTTGATGGTCTCATTGGAATTGCTGGAGCTCTCAAGGCTCTCGTTATCGCCACCATCAGAGTTCTCGCCTGCTGCCTCGCACTTCCCCAGCCTCCGAGCCCCAGCCACACCACTGGGCCCAGTGCCACTGTTGGGGGCTGGTGGCAGGGGCCCTGGTGGGGCTGGGGCTGGGCCCTCTGGGGCTGGGTAGTGGCGGTGTAGGATTGGGGCCCTGCCTGGTGGCCCTTTGTGCTTTAGGGTCCCATGGGGGCTGCAGCCATCGGCCTCATACACCAGCTGGCGGTGGACAGAGCCGCGATCTGAGCGGTCACTCAGGTCCACAGAGCTGTCACTAGGAGGCTCAATGGTGAGCAGGGGAAGGTGAGCGGCCCGCAGCCGGAAATCCCGACACTCCGAGCACCCAGGTCCCCTTCGAGGGCCTTCCTCACGGCTCCCATCTTCCCGGGTCCCTGGTGGCCCTGGTGGAGGAACTGGCGGGAGAGGGGCTGGTGCCCAGAACTCAGGCCGGCTCTGGGGTGGGGGCTCTGCGCTGGGCAGTCGTTCAGGGGATGGTGGGGGAATTGGGTCATCCAAGTAGAGGGGAAGGTCACTGAAGGATGTGGCTGAGCTGTCCTCTTGCTGTTCCTTCGACTCTCGCTTCTCCAGCTGGGCTGACCCTGTCTCCTCAGACATGGGCCCCGATGGGTGGCAGTTCAGGGCCTCATCAATGGATTCAGCCAGAGACTTTACCTGTGTTTGCGGGAAAAGGGGAGGAGGGACAGAAAGGGAAAGGAAGGGAAGATGAAGGGAAGATGAAGGGAGGGTTGGTGGGATGGAAGAAGGGTGGGAATGAGGGAGGAGGGGAAGGGAATAGGGAGAACTTCCTGGTTGGTCAGCCAAGAAAAGGGATTCCCCTCCCCCCACAGGTTCTCTGCAGTATATGAAATAACTCCCAGGGAGCCATTGTGAGCTCACAGGAGCTGGGACTCATGCCCACAAGCTCCCCTCTCAGATATCCCAATACCTCCTCAATGTCCATGTAGACCCAAGTCAAATGCCACCCACTCTCATTCAATCCACATTTCTGCGTCTGCCATCCCCTGGGTGAACCAAAGCCCCAGCTTCCTCCAGGCTTCCAGAGCCCTCTGTCTCCTTCTACCTTAGGAAATCCATATGATTTAGCCTTGAAAAGCCAGACCATGGCTGGTAACTCTACCTCCCTGTGGTATTCAGCCTCTCAACTGGCCCCCAATGATTCCTGCCTCCTGGTATTCACACCCTTGTGTACCACACTGTCCTGGGGTTGGTCTGTGGGACTGATAGCATATGACAGAAGTGATGAGTGTCACTTCCGAGATTAGGTTATGAAAGACTACAGCTTCTGTCCTGAGCACGCTCGCTTGCTTGTGCTCTCTCTCCCTCAGACCCTTTGCTCTGCAGGAAGCCATGGGCAGTCCTATGGAGAGGCCCATGTAGCGAGAACCTGAACCCTCCTGCCAACAGCCAAGGGAGTGAGCTTGGAAGCAGACCTCTCAGCCCGTCAAGTCTTCTGAGATTTCGACCCCACCCTAAGCTTGATTACAGCCTTATGAGAGACCCTGAGTCACTTGCTATGCAGCAATAGGTAACTAATACACTTCCCCATCAGACTTGGATAACACTGAGAGCTGGGCCTAGGCCTGGTTCTTTGATCTCCCTACCAGACTATGAACCTCTTCCCTCCACTCCCTCTTGAAGGATGGGTCCAGGCCTAGTTTCTGTCTTTCTAACTCAGCTCAACACATTTCTTGACACAGAAGAGATGTTCAATTAATGTTTGTTGTATGAGTGAATAGATGAGTGATTCAGATTTTTCTTTAATACTTCTTTCTTTCCCTCTACCCACCCTACCCAACCCCCGCCCCCCCCCCTTCGCTAGCTCCAGAGAGGCATACCCAGGCTGATGGCAGGGCCACATCACAGAGGTTAGAGCAGAGTGATTTCTTCTCTTATAAAGCTTCATTCATTCATTAAACAATTTACCTTCTTGGTTTTTAGGAAGGAAACTAAGATGGACTTAGTAGCTACCACATACTAGGTGTTTCTGTATACATTACCTAGCTGAACTGAATCTCTGAAACAACTCTAAAAGGAAAGTTTTACCTCTATTTTATTTGTCATGTTTCAGTGAGGTCAAAGAGTTTGCCCAAAGTCCCACAGCTGGGAAATGGCAGAGCTGGAATGTGCATGTGAACAGCTGTGCTGACGTACCCAAGCCTAGAATGATGACCCACTACCCTCAGTGCCTGCTACATTCCTACCCTTCCAGGCTGTTGCTGATGCAATGCCTATGCAAGCAACACCCTGCCAACGAGCTCTAACTTGCTAAATGTTATTTGTCTGTTTTCTCAAAAAACCTTTCTCTGATCCTCCCAGAAGGAAGTTTCTTCTCCCTCTTCTGGCTTCCCATGGTACTAGATGTGATCCTTTCTCATGGCTCTGAGCACTCTATTTCCGAAGACAGTTGTGTGCCTGTGTGTCAGCATTAGATCCTTGAGAGCTAATGGCTGGAAGATCTTTAGGAACAAGGACCCTGGTGGTTCAGCTGTCTCCCTCATGGCGCCCAGCACAGACCCTGGCCCATGGTAGTGTGATGTAAGCGAAAGGGCGTGGGCTTTGGAACCAGACGGAGCTGAGTTCCAATCCAGATCGGAAAAGTCACTCCACCTCTCAGGGTCCCAGAGCCTCAGTTGCCTCCTCTGTGAAGTTGGGGTATCCCAACCATCTCACAGGTCATTATGAAGCACACACAATAGGAGCTCATCACTGTTCGTTAGGCCTTAATTTGATAGTGCATCAAGTTCTTGTGTGTTCTATAAACCCAGATTTTTAACTTGCTTGTTTTTACAATATAATTTTTTGTCTTGCCAATTCTTTCTCGTTCTTCTCACAGACCCTACTCATGGCAGCTAGTGGTTCTTAAATGCTTGTCGGGCCACGTGTTTCAGTTTGAAGTATAGGTAAAAAGTCGGAGGAGTAGCCAGAGCATAGGGATAGGGAGGAAAGGCCCTTTTCAGGGATGCTGACCTGTTTGGAGAAGGAGTCCTCCAGCTCTGTGATGTCATTGGAAAACTCTCCCGATGTGGTGACAGAGCTTCCCCCACCATCGATGCCCCCTCCACAGGAGCCTGCATATGGGAGGCCCCGTTCAAGCAGGTGGCTCCGGGCACCAGCCATGGCACCCTCGTCCAGCGAGGCAGGCTTGCCCTCGAAGTACGCGGGGTTCTGGGCCTTCTCGTACTCCTCAAAGGAGAACCGCATCCGCATGTTGGAAAGGATGATCCGTCTGGACATGCGACTTTCCGAAGCTGAGCTGCGGAGCCGCTCAAAGTTCTTGTTCATGCGGTACTGGCGGAAGGCCGTCTGGATGGTTCTGGCAGCCCTACGGCTCAAGAAGGAGCCCCCGTATTTCCTCTCCAGCATTTCCACCTGGCAGGGGAGGGTCGAGGGGAACAAGGTCAGACTCACAAAAGCCTCATGTCTCTGGACCTCAACCACACCACTACAGAGACACAGCTAACTGCTTACAGCTGCCTGAAGGCACTAGGCTGCGCTCTCAGTACCCTTCCCACTCTAATCTCAGATACTGTTTGTCACATGGGACTGGGTTGTGGTTTTCTTTTATTATTTACAAGAAGTAGACAGTCAGTATACCAAAAAGTTAGAAAAAACAGAGAAGCCAAAAAGGGAAGGAATAAAGAAGGAAGGGAGGAAGGGAGGGAAGGGAAAAGAAGGGAAGGGAAGGGGAGGGAAGGGGAGGGAAAGGAAGGAAAGGGAAGGGAAGGGGAAGGAAGGAAGGAAAGAGAAGGGAAGGGAAGGAAGGAAGGAAAGAGAAGGGAAAGGAAGGGAAAGGAAGGAAGGAAAGGAAAGAGAAGGAAAGGGAAGGGAAGAGAAGAAAAGGGAAGGGGAGGGAAGAAAAGGGAAGGGGAGGGAAGGGGAG